CATATAAATAAAAGTACACGTATTGTATTGAATTTAAATATTAAAAATTAAACACATTTATTTTACTTCTCTTGATAATTCTTTAAAATTTGGTGAATAATTGGTGACAGCACTTCTCAGTTATTCTTCGAGATGCTGGTTAGTTAATATTGATCGGTGTGTGGATTTCACGAATTTTAAAGTGGAATAAAATGATTCACATACGTACGTTGTTCCGAATATTGAAATAATTCGAGAAGCAGCCTTTTTTAATTCAGGATACTTCGATTCTGGTACAAATTTCCAAAATTCAGTAATCGACGTCGACTTGTATTTTAATTGTAGAGCTTGATCTTCTTGCATCTCTATTAATTATAATTCTCCAGATGCTTTTTGGGTCATAATTATATTGGAAATGGAAAACTCACCTTGAATTATGTTAATTTCAAATGGATTCAGAAAAAAATCAAGAGACGATTTAAAATATTTCAAGTCTTGACATCTAATTTGGAATTCCGTCCATATTCCTTCTAGCTCTTTTATATACTCGTTGAGTTTTTCTTGTTTAATATTGGAACAAATTTTGTTAATTCGAGGAAAGTGACAAAATGTTTTATTTTTAATGTGCTTTTGAAAAAGTTGTAATTTAGTTTGAAAACTAAATATACACTGTGAGAGGTCAGATATTATTTTATCTTTCCCGTGCAATTGTAAATTTAGTGTTTGCAAATGTTCCATGACATCAGTCAAAAACATTAAATCTTGTAACCATTCGCCATTGTCTAATTCTGAATAGGTTATTTCCTTTTCTTTTAGAAATGCAGTTATCGGATCGAACAAATCTACAAAACGATTTAATACGTTGTAGCTAGATAATCATCTAACAATGCAAAAGAAATTAATGTCATTTGGAAGTTCTGCGAATGTAATTTACAATGTGTAACACTGTTTTCATAACATCAGGATATTTTAAATATTTTGTAACGAGATGTTCTCGGTGAATTATGCAGTGAATCGGTATGAATTGTGGAATTTGAGAATCATGTCTTAAAAGCCTAATAAAACCGATTTTTTTACCCAGCATTGCCGGAGCTCCATCAGTTGCAATGCTTACAAGTTTATTAAGAGGCACATCAAAAGTTTTCATTATGGAATCTAATGCATTTTTAATATCGACACCGCCGGTTGAATCTTGCTAAATCTAATAATTCTTCTTTAACAACGAAGTCAGGTGAAACAAAACGTATAAAAACTGCCAATTGCGGAAGATCTGTGATATCTGTCGATTCGTCAAGGGCTAAGATCGCTTCTTCAAATCATTTTTTAAATTATATTGAAGAGATGTATTAATTGCAGTTATGTGTCGTTCAGTTGTGTCTCGAGATGGAAATTTGCGAACTTTCTGCAATGCTGCATTATTTGGATCTAAAACTTTAAGTACATCTTCCAAGTTTTTTTTAATAAACTTTCCCCCTCCATACGGGCGATTTGCATGAGCAATATTCCAGGCAATAACAAAACTGGCTTCAGGCACATTATTAGCTTGATTGCTAAAGGTCATCAAAATTGACTGTTCTTTATTCAAATTTGATTTTAAAGAAGCAAGTTTATTTGATCTTAATTTGGAATTTGGCGAATACTGATTAGAAAACTGAGGATGATTGGTTTCATAATGTCGACGTAAATTGCTAGCTTTATAATTTTTGACCATAGAATCACAAATAACACATAATGCTTTTCCGTTATTGTCAATAAAAAAGAAATTCTCCTCCCACTCATTATAAAAAGTTCTATTTTCTTGCTCGTATTTTCTTTTTTTATTTTCATTCTCTGTCGTCATATTTTTACAAGAACTGGTAATAAATAAAGAAATTTATAAAATACAAGTTTTGTGTTATTAAAACAATAACAATACGCGTTACATACTACAAAACAAATTTAGTTAACTTACCAAAAATTTCAGATTACAAATTATATCCGTATCGAGAATGATACAAATTGTTTTCTCCAGAGCACAATGTCAACTGTCCGTTGCAATGAAAGTTTACAAATTCAAAATCGGTCTAGAGTCGGTCGATTACGGACGATTACGCCACTGTTTATGTTCGTTCGCGCAGTTTTATGAGTCATATCATTCTTAACTTGGACGGAAATAAAATTTGTTACAACGTTGCACTTAGTCTTTCATATTTGATGTCAGTAATTTAAAAGACATTTTGAAACACATACGGAACGATAATAATTTTT